CAGAGAGATCCAAACCGAAACTAATCTCAACACCACCACACCCACCACAACCGTAGGTATTTATATCCAATTAAAAAGAAGGAAATTATACTAAGACAAAAGATAAAAGGACTATGATCAACGGTAAAAAGAAATAATACTAGGGTTGATTAGGTCTTATGATACATAATTAGGTAAGTAACATACTGATCATAATTGGACTTAGGTAAGTAGCAAATAAAGAAAAATATGACAAAATTACCCTTACAAAATTTGCTAAGGAAAAAAATTAAAAAAAATAATCTTTAAATATTTGTCTTTAAATGAACGTCTCTTATTTTCAATAAAATCGTTTTTGGAAAGCTCTTCACCAAAAAATCCAGATTGATGATGATTGATTTTGACGAATCCAGACGGTTGTAATTGAGGGAAAAAATTTTCATTGATTGGATATGAAGTTTACGAGAATATCAACATGTAGTTTTTCTCAAGAAGTTCTATCATATGCAAAACATTGACATCCTCCTCTCATCAAACCATGATAAATCATCTCTTCTAGATCGTCAACTGAAACAAAAACACATGTGAGTAAACTCCAGAAGATGATGTAACTACCGAACCATCATCTTTAAATAGTTAACTATTCTTAAACCATAGTTAAATAGTTGACTCTATTAGTATAACATAGTTAACTATGAGTAGAACATGGTTGACTACACGATGTAAATATATCACTATTAGAAGAAATATTTGACTACGTGATGTAAATAGTTAACTATTTGGACCATAGTTAACTATTAGTAGAAAAATAGCAACCCATATCTCTTTCCGGCGATGTTTTCAAGCTTAAAATTTGGGCTTTTCAACCATCGCAATTTTTGGGCAACCTCGTCCAACTCCATCATCATGCCGTGAGTTGGGAACCCCGCAAGGTTAAATGTACGGAGACATCACCGGAGACCCTCCAAGGCGAAGTCGTCAATTTTTCTCCGATTGAAGGTCCGTGATTCACAAAGACTATGGCGCTGTGTTGTTACATTTTCTTCTAGCAATATGCTATGATTCCGCCGCACACACATCTCCTCCACCGTACCTAGCCGTTTTTGTCGATGCTAAGACATACACACAAACCTGTGTTTTGAGATCGGCTAGATCTGCTCTTCTACTCTCTCGGCTTCATTGGCATGTGGTTGGAATCCCCGGAACAGCGTCTCCATAGGTGAAGATCTTTCCCAAACCGATGCTTCTCGCTTTTGAAGATGGACTTCCGCTAGAGCTTCCTGGTTCCCATACCGTTTTATATCGAACTCAATGTTCTGTTTTCCCTATATTTGGGTGTTGTAACAAAGGACTTTGTGTAGCTTCCTCACGTACTTCATCCCTGATTCGGCTTCTTTTAGTTTCGTTGTTAAGTCACTACGAGTTTCTAGCTTTAATGCTATGATTGATATATGGAAGATCTGATGAAGTTCGCTTCTACAAACATGAACGGGTTTTAAGAAATTAAAAGAAGAAACAAGTTGTTGTAGAGTCTTCAGGGGAAAAAAAAATTCCTAATTCAAAGCATCTACATCTCTTGAAAGCTAAAATCTGTTCGGCTCTTCGAAGTCTGTCTCTACCTCTACGAAGATCCTTCTAGCCGTAAGCTAAGCTTTGGACAGTATACCTCTTCTTTTGGCTAATTAGCATCTCAGACTCTACGAAGAAGACACAGTGGTGCTTCCTCTACTATGACAAAAAAAATCTAGCATATTGCTAAGCACAGATAACTATTGTAAAATGAATGCAATAGCTTGGAATTGTCAAGTTGCGTGAGCCGACCTAACAAAAGAACACCTTGAAGAATTACACCGGTGGTTTCG